ACTATATCACATCAAAACAGCATTTAACTTTAACTAGTAACATACTAACACCTAACAACTAATAACAAATAAACTATAACAAATCTACAGATACAAGTCAGATCAGTCATCATGATGAGTAGCTTTTTTCAGATTATATTTCTCCACTGTTACTGGTTCTAAGAGTTCGGAAACAATTCCCCTCGCTATAGTTTGTTTTGTTCCACCATCCCTTAGAGTAAATGGTATTCCTACTTTGAAAGGCATATTCCGCATAAGAGTCACCGTTGCAGGTGCATGTTCTCCAGGCATCAAAAGCTCTTGCGCTATTTCAAATCGGGCCACCTTCAAATAATCGCAGTTAATGCAGAAAATTAGAACAACAAAAGTCTTACTTGATCCCAAGTGCTGCAGAAAAGTTTGTCCGTAAATCCTGACCGAATGCCAATTTTACGACCATTTTCCTCTTGGCTGAGAAGATACAACTCTGTTTTGATTTGATTTGTGACGTGTACGGCACCAATATGCCCCATCCACATTCCTAAAACTTATTATAAGATGCCCTATTTTGATATGGAAACCGATGCCATCAAATTTACGAGCACAACGTTATCCACTACATGGTAAGGGTAGTTAAGGGATTCACCTCTAGAAACCTGATCGGCTTTTACTCCTCTGCATAGTACACCACAATGATCACCTGCTTTTACCTAAACCTTTCATGAATAAACGACTGTATAATAAAAATTGAAATTTATAATAACTTAAATTTTAAAAATATATCAGGTATGTATCATGAAAAAAACCTTCAGTCTTAAAAACCTTAATAAACACTTTTGAAATAGGAAACTATGCATAATACCAAATAATTAAAAGAAATGTACGAAAAAGAAAAAACGTGATGTAATCACAACATAAAAAAACTAATCGTAATGCGCACTTCGGAGATTATTCAATAGTTGTTGTCTATGGAGGGGTTTATAAACTCTACAGTACAAAGTGTCTGAACACTCACCTCTTTAACACTTTTTCCAAAAACTTGTATATCAGATGCAACGGTTGAGACTTCCCTATCATCTCCTTTTATTTCTACCTTGTCACCTTTCTTCAGCGTTCCTTGCTCAACAGTACCGACAACAACTGTGCCTGCAATTTTGTTAACTGAACATGCGAAAGTTAAAGTAAATTCATATCCCACCTCGCCCCGTGATCGCAATTTTAGAAGATACGGGCATTATTAGTGCTTCATTCTGTAAAAAATATAAATCATAAGGATGGAAGGGAAAAAAAGGTACAAGTTTTCAGTCTTCAAATCTGCAAAGTATCTGTAACATTTAAGGAGTAACTGTAACATGCAACATTTGATAAGAAAAATACCTCGTTTCTTTGAGGTTCCGGAAGATCATCAAGCGCTTTAAGTAGATTGATTATGCTTGAAACATCTTTTCCTTCTAAGGCATTCAAAGCTGAACCTCGAATAACTGGTGCATTATCTCCTGCAAAAGGATGTTAAGCAAAGGTAAAGAAACATATAGGGAAGAAAGTATCTGAGCTGAGAACAAACCGTCAAAACCAT